TCCGCCAACGCTCCGCGCCTGCCTGTGTTTTGACCGCAAGCTGCGCGAAGGTGTTTGAAAGAGCTTGACCGAGGGGATGGAAAAACTACTATAATAATTCAGGATTCAGTCACCCAACAATAGGCCAGAAGATGTTTGTGTTGTTGAAGCAGAGGTGTTGCAAGCATCGCCGCTATCTTGCATCAAACAGATACAAACAAAGAGTGGGTGGCTCAAAACAGCTTCTGGAGCTGCAGCAAAAGCTGTTCAGGCGTCTTCGGATACATGAATTGGTTGACCAGAGCTCTCAGATCATCATGTTCTCTGGACAATTCCCATGGCCAACTTTCCGGGGACCTGCGCGTTGGACTGCGGCAAGCGCTTGCACATGCACACAGAAAGCTTTCGGCATTGGGTTTGCCAGCTTTGTGAATCTTGATCTTCAGGGCCTTGATCTGCGCGGCAAAGCGTTTGCACTGATGAGCCACAAAGAAACTTTCCTTGGCTGCTGCCGTCAACCTCCACGTTCTTGGAAGCCACCACCTTCTGCCGCCATGCTTTGCCAGCCTCCGCCTCCGTCTGCCGCAAGCAAGCAATGAAACCTGGCCTGGATGGTGTCCTGCTAATCTCGGATGTGACAACAGCTTGACCCCGAGGAATGGCATTGACGTGGAGGGGTTCGAGAACCTGCCGTTTGATCTGCGCAGCTAGAAAGAAACAGGCATGCCGTGACACTGTCGACACCGCCGCTATCACTTGCCCCCCCCAAAAAAAAAACGAACCCCCCCCCTCTCCCCCGGAACACCGTCCAAGTCATGCCGACGTCCGCTGCAAGAACAAAAATCGATAAAAATAGGTGTTCGTTACACGGCCATCTACGAGCCGCGTTCCAACTAGTAACTGAACAGTAGAACTTAAAATAAGGAACACGTCTAGTTATTTGTGCATTTTAAATTGGAATTCTTATATTGGCTGTTCTGGTTCAATCCAAATGTTACACAGGAATTGCTTTCCAAAGAATGTAATACTTGACATCCAAATACTATAAGAAGTAGAGTTACATAGTCTAGTCCTAGTTTGGGCCTAGTTGTGAGATCCTTGGTTATAGTGTTCGGTTGCTCCTAGTTCACTGAAATGATTAGACAGTATAAAGGACATCACAGAGGAAGTTCTACTTGAAAATCCATTGTTATAAGAATCAGAGGTGGATCGTCTAGTCCTAGTTTGGTCCTCTTAGTTGAGAGATCCTTGGTTCTAGTCTTATCTCCTAGTCCTAATTGAGAGTTCTTTCCTTCCAGTCCTAGATGGGCAAATCATGCACTGGACGGGCGCCAAAAGGTAGATCCCTGGAGGGGGGGGGGGAGTAGCATATACATACATACACATACATTACATACATACATACATACATACATACATACATAACATAACATAACATAACATTACATAACATTACATTACATTACATTACATTACATTACATTACATTACATTACATTACATTACATTACATTACATTACATTACATTACATTACATTACATTACATTACATTACATTACATTACATTACATACATACATTACATACATACATACATACATACATACATACATACATACATATACATACATACATACATACATACATTACATACATACATACATACATACATACATACATACATACATACATTACATTACATTACATTACATTACATTACATTACATTACATTACATTACATTACATTACATTACATTACATTACATTACATTACATTACATTACATTACATTACATTACATTACATTACATTACATTACATTACATTACATTACATTACATTACATTACATTACATTACATACATACATACATACATACATACATTACATACATTACATACATACATACATACATACATACATACATACATACATACATACATACATACATACATACATACATACATACATACATACATACATACATACATACATACATACATACATACATACATACATACATACATACATACATACATACATACATACATACATACATTACATACATACATACATACATACATACATACATACATACATACATACATACATACATACATTACATTACATTACATTACATTACATTACATTACATTACATTACATTACATTACATTACATTACATTACATTACATTACATTACATTACATTACATTACATTACATTACATTACATTTACATTACATACACGTTACATTTACATTACATTACATTACATTACATTACATTACATTACATTACATTACATTACATTACATTACATTACATTTACATTACATTACATTACATTACATTACATTACATTACATTACGTACATATTACATACATTACATTACATTACATTACATTACATTACATTTACATTACATTACATTACATTACATTACATTACATTACATTACATTACATTACATTACATTACATTACATTACATTACATTACATTACATTAAATTACATTACATTACATTACATTACATTACATTACATTACATACATACATACATACATACATACATACATTACATACATACATACATACATACATACATACATACATACATACATACATTTCATACATACATACATACATACATACATACATTACATACATACATACATACATACATACATACATACATACATACATACATACATACATACATACATACATACATACATACATACATACATTACATTACATTACATTACATTACATTACATTACATTACATTACATTACATTACATTACATTACATTACATACATTACATTACATTACATTACATTACATTACATTACATTACATTACATTACATTACATTACATTACATTACATTACATTACATTACATTACATTACATACATACATACATACATACATACATACATACATACATACATACATACATTACATTACATACATACATACATACATATACATATATAACAATACGTGTTGTCTTGACGCCATTTCTACGGTGGCATCAAGCTGGTTACCCTCTCACAAACATGGTGACACACCCTTTGCAAGTCTAGTGTCCTTTTCAAAGGGATGGGAACTACGCCGTGTTTGAGTACCCACTTCTGCGGTGACTACACGCACCTTCCGGGAAGTACCTGCCTTCTCAATCCAACCAATGCAAGCAAACTTGGTACCACAGCTTTTTGAAGCCCGGGTGATCATCGCTGTATTGCAAAGCCCCCATTATCCAGGTCTCCAGTAGAGAGGTTAGAATAAGGGTACCCTTTTGTTGTAGTCTATTTTAGTAGGCCCTCCCAAAAAAAAAAGTGTAAAAGGGCACTATTGGGGGACCTAGTTATGACGGTTGAAGCTGGCATTGTTAGAAGCTGCCAACAGTACGCATGCCTGTGAAGGAGTCCTTGGCAGTCCAGAACCAACACATAACCCAGTTGAAGGCAACTGTGGCCTCTGTGCCTGTGAGCTCTTTTGTGCTCCGATTGAAAGGAAACCAACGTAAAACAAACCCATGTCAGAAGATTCCTAGGTTTGGCCAGGCTTGCTGTCAGCACGCTGTTGAAGTAATGCGAGCTGTGTACGGCCAAACACAACCACCGCCATGGGGGGACACGTTTAATGCCAAATGCGTGTTCCGCCCAAAAAGGGTCATCCAGCTTCGGGGCTTGCATTTTGGCCCCTTTTAGCAACATATGTCGGGCCAGCCAAAGCCCGTATCCCCCGGACATGTTTTCCTAAACAAAAATCGAGTCGAAAGGCCCCTCACGGCTTAGGCCCTTTGGCCTCTATCCCCTTCCCGTCCCAAGATGCAACGCCTGGCGCGCGGCGCGCGGTGAGGTTTCTTCCCGACATGGCGCCCAATCGAACCCAATTCGCCGAGCAAGCAAAAAGCGGCTGGACTTTTGGGGGCTTTTCTTTGACGCGGTGCTGTTGGTTTGATGTAAGGCCTGCACAACATGATGCTTTTGCTTGTGCGCACATCTGCTGTGGTTGCTTTTGCTTTAGCACATGTTTTGACCGGGCGCGCAAACTGGCTTGCTGTCTATGCGAACTGAAAACAGTGGCTTGAACCATAGAGCTCGGAGGCAATCCCAGTTGCTCCAAACACCTTGCAGTAGAGACTTGGCCCATGTTGGAAGGAACCCAAAGGAAACCCACGGAAACCAACGGAAACCAAAGCAAACCAAAGGAAACCAAAAGAAACCAACACAAGCTTCGGCCCTTGCCGGTTTGATCATGTTGGAACGGCTTGCTCCGCAACCCTGGCAATGCGAGAGAGCCTCAACAGCCCGAAAGCGGAACCGAAATTTGCCTTTCGACCCCACGAGATCCGGGGCCCTAGGGATGGGCAAACGGCCAGATTGGAGGACGCAACATTTTTCAGAGAGAAATCACCATAGGGTGGAGAATCGATTCGGAGTGGGTGGAATTCCTCTGATATTAATGATGCTCCGATGCTCTGCATTAATCCGCAATTGACATGAAGTGACTAGCGACCAAGCTCTGTTGACTTGTTGCTGTACCAGCCTGGCCGTACACGCATAGCGTCTCAAAACAATCCCTACTAAAAAAGCGAGTAGAATCGGGTCTGGATACGTGTCGGGCGAAACAACCACTCAGGGCGTTGTACACATGAGCTCCACTTGGATTCCTGCCTCAAGCAGCACAAGACTCCTTCAATAGCCTTGATATTGCACCATTCTTTCTCGAATAGCCCTCAACATGAATGTGTCACACGCGCACCAAATTCATGCAGACAAAACGCCTCTCCAAGTGCTTGATTTCTTGTTGGCCTCCCTGATGCAGAAAAGACATTGCCAAGCGTGTCTTGCACAAAGTGTGCCTCTATATCGGGTGTACAAAGCTGCGCCCCTTCTTCTGGTGAGCATTACTTAAAATGCGTTTGACTTCCAGTTCGCGCACGTCCCCGCTCTTGCTACCAACGGCTGCAAGCCCAAACACGGCTGAGCAACTCCTTTTCGGCCCAAGTCCGGTCCACTTGCCAAACTCAGCCTTGGCCTGCGCAGCGCTTGCAACTCTTTGTCCCGTGGTTCGCCAGAGAATGGCAGCCATGGCGACTTACTCGAAAATGACACAGAGCACCCCAGAAACAAGACTTTATGAATTTTGTATGGGTTTAGGGTTTAGGGTTTAGGGCTTAGGGTTTAGGGTTCAGGGTTTAGGGTTTAGGGCTTAGAATTTAGGGTTTAGGGTTTAGGGCAAGCCGTATAGTTGGGATTGAAAGCTGATGGGCGTAACTCCACATAGTCTGCCAAAACGGGGGCCCTGCCTCACATCTTGCTCTCCGCTCGCAGGGGCGAAGCCGTGTAGTTCGCCCAATCACCCCAGGCGCTGCCAGTCAGGCCATCCTGCAGGCAACCCAAAAAGGGTCCCATAAACAAAAACTGAAGGTAGACAACAGCATGGTATGCAGTGTGGGAAACAACACATGTGTTGGGAATATGTGTGCAGCTAAGCATTACAAAACCACAACGCATGACATGCAATTCTCGACATGCACAATGTCATACACTTGTGACATGACTAAGCATGTGCTTGTGTCAAAGCAAGAAGACATATCATGTCGACAACAATGACTCACACACTTCATAGCACGCATGTCACTCGGCTCTAGCATAGCACAAAGCTGCCCAGCAGTGCAACATCTAAAGCTAGATGAGGTAGAGGGCAAAAAAGACACACGTCGTCCACAATGAATCACACAATATGCATTGCATCTGTAAAGTGGTGAGAAGCCTAACACTCTTGGAACCCACCGGTAAACACGTGTCGCATACACAAAGTCATTCGATAACGTCTCCTGGAAAAACATTCCGATGATCGCCATCATGGCCAGACGTCCGTTCGCCAACTCGGCCGCTAGCTTCGTCTTCTTGGCCTCCGGGTCGGACGCGGTGAGCACCTTGAATCCGAAGTCACCCGCCGCAGCAGGAGTTCCCGCCGACTGGTCCTGGGACACCTCGCAGAAGGCCATGTAAGCCAAGATTTGTCCCCACCCAGCAGCGGGAACTTTGGAAATCGCCGCCAATCCGTTGGGCACATCCGCGAACTTCAAGCCTGCGGAAGGGCTCAGATAGCCCGGGAATTTTCCGGTGATCTCGGGTGTAATATAGCCCATGGTCGCCTTGGTCGTTGTTCAAACTCAAACCTAGGATACAAAGTTATGATATGAATATGTTCCGACGTTATGTCTTTGAAACAAACCAACAAAAAGAAGTATAATGCCGAACTTTGACCAAGTGGCAAGCATGGAAATTCTTCCGTGCTTCAGCTCCGTCTGGCGACGTCGGGCAAGTTCTCGGTGCTGCCATCTGCCGTGAAGCCGGCCGGGTCCCAGAATCCGACCGGCGCTTGCACACCGAGCTCATTCTCGAATGCTCGCAAAGGGGAAGCAGTGTAGTTGGCCCAGTCACCCCAGGCGCTGCCAGTCAAGCCGTCCTGCACAAGCACAAGTTTTCGCCCAGCACTAAGATTACGTTTACATATGTATATAGATACATACAGGTATGTGTGTGTGTAGTGTGTTTACTTGGATGTCATAAAGACCAAGATGCACGAAGCGCATGCGCATAATGCCGCAAAAGTTTAGAAATTCTGAGCAACAATCACCGGCAATCAGCATTGCACTGCACAGTGTTACAAAGTATGATCTTTAAACGTACCATGCATTCTTGCTTTGACTTTAAGGTGGTTGGTGCAGACAAACTCAAGCACAAAGAGGCAAACACAAAGAACACACAGTTCACAATGATCGTCCACAATGAGTCACACAATATGCAGTGCATCGGTAAAGGGGTTGAAGCCTAACACTCTTGGAACCCACCAGTAAACACGTGTCGCATACACAAGGTCATTCGATAACGTTTCCTGGAAGAACATTCCGATGATCGCCATCATGGCCAGACGTCCGTTCGCCAACTCGGCCGCTAGCCGTCTTCTTGGCCTCCCAGCGGTGAGCACCTTGAATCCGAAGTCCCCGGCAGCAGGAGTTCCCGCCGACTGGTCCTGGGACACCTCGCAGAAGGCCATGTAAGCCAAGATTTGTCCCCACCCAGCAGCGGGAACTTTGGAAATCGCCGCCAATCCGTTGGGCACATCCGCGAACTTCAAGCCTGCGGAAGGGCTCAGATAGCCCGGGAATTTTCCGGTGATCTCGGGTGTAATATAGCCCATGGTCGCCTTGGTCGTTCAAACTCAAACCTAGGATCAAAGTTATGATATGAATATGTTCCGACGTTATGTCTTTGAAACAAACCAACAAAAAGAAGCATAATGCCGAACTTTGACCAAGTGGCAAGCATGGAAATTCTTCCGTGCTTCAGCTCCGTCTGGCGACGTCGGGCAAAGTTCTCGGTGCTGCCATCTGCCGTGAAGCCGGCCGGGTCCCAGAATCCGACCGGCGCTTGCACACCGAGCTCATTCTCGAATGCTCGCAAAGGGGAAGCAGTGTAGTTGGCCCAGTCACCCCAGGCGCTGCCAGTCAAGCCGTCCTGCACAAGCACAAGTTTTCGCCCAGCACTAAGATTACGTTTACATATGTATATAGATACATACAGGTATGTGTGTGTGTGTGCTTGTGTGTTTACTTGGATGTCATAAAGACCAAGATGCACGAAGCGCATGCGCATAATGCCGCAAAAGTTTAGAAATTCTGATGTTCAAGACAATCACCGGCAATCAGCATTGCACTGCACAGTGTTACAAAGTATGATCTGCTTTAAACGACAGAGATACCATGCATATCACTTGCTTTGACTTTAAGGTGGTTGGCGCAGACAAACTCAAGCACAAAGAGGCAAACACAAAGAACACACAGTTCACAATGATCGTCCACAATGAGTCACACAATATGCAGTGCATCGGTAAAAGGGTTGAAAGCCTAACACTCTTGGAACCCACCAGTAAACACGTGTCGCATACACAAGGTCATTCGATAACGTTTCCTGGAAGAACATTCCGATGATCGCCATCATGGCCAGACGTCCGTTCGCCAACTCGGCCGCTAGCTTGGTCTTCTTGGCCTCCGGGTCGGACGCGGTGAGCACCTTGAATCCGAAGTCACCCGCCGCAGCAGGAGTTCCCGCCGACTGGTCCTGGGACACCTCGCAGAAGGCCATGTAAGCCAAGATTTGTCCCCACCCAGCAGCGGGAACTTTGGAAATCGCCGCCAATCCGTTGGGCACATCCGCGAACTTCAAGCCTGCGGAAGGGCTCAGATAGCCCGGGAATTTTCCGGTGATCTCGGGTGTAATATAGCCCATGGTCGCCTTGGTCGTTGTTCAAACTCAAACCTAGGATACAAAGTTATGATATGAATATGTTCCGACGTTATGTCTTTGAAACAAACCAACCAAAAGAAGTATAATGCCGAACTTTGACCAAGTGGCAAGCATGGAAATTCTTCCGTGCTTCAGCTCCGTCTGGCGACGTCGGGCAAAGTTCTCGGTGCTGCCATCTGCCGTGAAGCCGGCCGGGTCCCAGAATCCGACCGGCGCTTGCACACCGAGCTCATTCTCGAATGCTCGCAAAGGGGAAGCAGTGTAGTTGGCCCAGTCACCCCAGGCGCTGCCAGTCAAGCCGTCCTGCACAAGCACAAGTTTTCGCCCAGCACTAAGATTACGTTTACATATGTATATAGATACATACAGGTATGTGTGTGTGTGTGCTTGTGTGTTTACTTGGATGTCATAAAGACCAAGATGCACGAAGCGCATGCGCATAATGCCGCAAAAGTTTAGAAATTCTGATGTTCAAGACAATCACCGGCAATCAGCATTGCACTGCACAGTGTTACAAAGTATGATCTGCTTTAAACGACAGAGATACCATGCATATCACTTGCTTTGACTTTAAGGTGGTTGGCGCAGACAAACTCAAGCACAAAGAGGCAAACACAAAGAACACACAGTTCACAATGATCGTCCACAATGAGTCACACAATATGCAGTGCATCAGGTAAAAGGGTTGAAAGCCTAACACTCTTGGAACCCACCAGTAAACACGTGTCGCATACACAAGGTCATTCGATAACGTTTCCTGGAAGAACATTCCGATGATCGCCATCATGGCCAGACGTCCGTTCGCCAACTCGGCCGCTAGCTTGTCTTCTTGGCCTCCGGGTCGGACGCGGTGAGTACCTTGAATCCGAAGTCACCCGCCGCAGCAGGAGTTCCCGCCGACTGGTCCTGGGACACCTCGCAGAAGGCCATGTAAGCCAAGATTTGTCCCCACCCAGCAGCGGGAACTTTGGAAATTGCCGCCAATCCGTTGGGCACATCCGCGAACTTCAAGCCTGCGAAGGCTCAGAAGCCCGGGAATTTTCCGGTGATCTCGGGTAATAAGCCCATGGTCGCCTTGGTCGTTGTTCAAACTCAAACCTAGGATACAAAGTTAGATATGAATATGTTCCGACGTTATGTCTTTGAAACAAACCAACAAAAAGAAGCATAATGCCGAACTTTGCCAAGTGGCAAGCATGGAAATTCTTCCGTGCTTCAGCTCCGTCTGGCGACGCGGGCAAGTTCTCGGTGCTGCATCTGCCGTGAAGCCGGCCGGGTCCCAGAATCCGACCGCGCTTGACACCGAGCTCATTCTCGAATGCTCGCAAAGGGAAGCAGTGTAGTTGGCCCAGTCACCCCAGCCTGCCAGTCAAGCCGTCCTGCACAAGCACAAGTTTTCGCCCAGCACTAAGATTACGTTTACATATGTATATAGATACATACAGGTATGTGTGTGTGTGTGTGCTTGTGTGTTTACTTGGATGTCATAAAGACCAAGATGCACGAAGCGCATGCGCATAATGCCGCAAAAGTTTAGAAATTCTGATGTTCAAGACAATCACCGGCAATCAGCATTGCACTGCTACAGTGTTACAAAGTATGATCTGCTTTAAACGACAGAGATACCATGCATATCACTTGCTTTGACTTTAAGGTGGTTGGCGCAGACAAACTCAAGCACAAAGAGGCAAACACAAAGAACACACAGTTCACAATGATCGTCCACAATGAGTCACACAATATGCAGTGCATCGGTAAAAGGGTTGAAAGCCTAACACTTGGACCCACAGTGCACGTGTCGCATACACAAGGTCATTCGATAACGTTCTTAGGGAAGAACATTCAGATGATCAGAATATGGCGGGGATTCGTGTCCACGCCAACTCGGCCGCTAGCTTGGTCTTCTTGGCCTCCCGGGTGGGTAGCGGTGAGCACAGCGATCCCCGAAGTCACCGCCGCAGCAACTCATCGTGCCGACTGGTCCTGGGACACCTCGCAGAAGGCCATGTAAGCCAAGATTTGTCCCCACCCAGCAGCGGGAACTTTGGAAGTCGCCGCCAATCCGTTGGGCGCATCCGCGGGAACTTCAGGCGTGCCTTGCCGGCTCAGATAGCCGGGAATTTTCCGGTGATCTCTCGGGTGTAATATAGCCCATGGTACGCCTTAGTCGTTGTTCCAAACTCAAACCTAGGATACAAAGTTATGATATGAATATGTTCCGACGTTATGTCTTTGGGAAACAAGCACCAACCAAAAGAAGTATAATGCCGAACTTTGACCAAGTGGCAAGCATGGAAATTCTTCCGTGCTTCAGCTCCGTCTGGCGACGTCGGGCAAAGTTCTCGGTGCTGCCATCTGCCATTGACCCGGCCGGGTCCCAGAATCCGACCAAGGCGCTTGCACACCGAGCTCATTCTCGGAGAATGCTCGCAAAGGGGAAGCAGTGTAGTTGGCCCAGTCACCCCAGGCGCTGCCAGTCAAGCCGTCCTGCACAAGCACAAGTTTTCGCCCAGCACTAGATTACGTTTACATATGTATATAGATACATATATACAGGTATGTGTGTGTGCGTGTGTTTGTGTGTTTACTTGGATGTCATAAGACCAAGATGCACGAAGCACATGCGCATAACGCAGTAAAGGTTTAGAAATTCTAAGGATCCAGACAATCACCGGCAATCAGCATTGCACTGCACAGTGTTACAAAGTATGATCTGATTCAAACGACGGAGATACCATGCATCTCACTTGCTTTGACCGTAAGGTGGTTGGTGCAGACACACTCAAGCACAAAGAGGCAAACACAAAGAACACACAGTTCACAATGATCGTCCACAATGAGTCACACAATATGCAGTGCATCGGTAAAAGGGTTGAAAGCCTAACACTCTTGGAACCCACCAGTAAACACGTGTCGCATACACAAGGTCATTCGATAACGTTTCCTGGAAGAACATTCCGATGATCGCCATCATGGCCAGACGTCCGTTCGCCAACTCGGCCGCTAGCTTGGTCTTCTTGGCCTCCGGGTCGGACGCGGTGAGCACCTTGAATCCGAAGTCACCCGCTGCAGCAGGAGTTCCCGCCGACTGGTCCTGGGACACCTCGCAGAAGGCCATGTAAGCCAAGATTTGACCCCACCCAGCAGCGGGAACTTTGGAAATCGCCGAATCTTGGGCACATCCGCGAACTTCAAGCCTGCGGAAGGGCTCAAGTAGCCTGGGAATTTTCCGGTGATCTCGGGTGTAATATAGCCCATGGTCGCCTTGGTCGTTGTTCAAACTCAAACCTAGGATACAAAGTTATGATATGAATATGTTCCGACGTTATGTCTTTGAAACAAACCAACAAAAAGAAGTATAATGCCGAACTTTGACCAAGTGGCAAGCATGGAAATTCTTCCGTGCTTCAGCTCCGTCTGGCGACGTCGGGCAAAGTTCTCGGTGCTGCCATCTGCCGTGAAGCCGGCCGGGTCCCAGAATCCGACCGGCGCTTGCACACCGAGCTCATTCTCGAATGCTCGCAAAGGGGAAGCAGTGTAGTTGGCCCAGTCACCCCAGGCGCTGCCAGTCAAGCCGTCCTGCACAAGCACAAGTTTTCGCCCAGCACTAGATTACGTTTACATATGTATATAGATACATGTATACAGGTATGTGTGTGTGTGCGTGTGTTTGTGTGTTTACTTGGATGTCATAAGACCAAGATGCACGAAGCACATGCGCATAACGCAGTAAAGGTTTAGAAATTCTAAGGATCCAGACAATCACCGGCAATCAGCATTGCACTGCACAGTGTTACAAAGTATGATCTGATTCAAACGACGGAGATACCATGCATCTCACTTGCTTTGACCGTAAGGTGGTTGGTGCAGACACACTCAAGCACAAAGAGGCAAACACAAAGAACACACAGTTCACAATGATCGTCCACAATGAATCACACAATATGCAGTGCATCCGTAAATTGGTTAGAAGCCTAACACTCTTGGAACCCACCAGTAAACACGTGTCGCATACACAAAGTCATTCGATAACGTTTCCTGGAAGAACATTCCGATGATCGCCATCATGGCCAGACGTCCGTTCGCCAACTCGGCCGCTAGCTTCGTCTTCTTGGCCTCCGGGTCGGACGCGGTGAGCACCTTGAATCCGAAGTCACCCGCCGCAGCAGGAGTTCCCGCCGACTGGTCCTGGGACACCTCGCAGAAGGCCATGTAAGCCAAGATTTGTCCCCACCCAGCAGCGGGAACTTTGGAAATCGCCGCCAATCCGTTGGGCACATCCGCGAACTTCAAGCCTGCGGAAGGGCTCAGATAGCCCGGGAATTTTCCGGTGATCTCGGGTGTAATATAGCCCATGGTCGCCTTGGTCGTTGTTCAAACTCAAACCTAGGATACAAAGTTATGATATGAATATGTTCCGACGTTATGTCTTTGAAACAAACCAACAAAAAGAAGTATAATGCCGAACTTTGACCAAGTGGCAAGCATGGAAATTCTTCCGTGCTTCAGCTCCGTCTGGCGACGTCGGGCAAAGTTCTCGGTGCTGCCATCTGCCGTGAACCCGGCCGGGTCCCAGAATCCGACCGGCGCTTGCACACCGAGCTCATTCTCGAATGCTCGCAAAGGGGAAGCAGTGTAGTTGGCCCAGTCACCCCAGGCGCTGCCAGTCAAGCCGTCCTGCACAAGCACAAGTTTTCGCCCAGCACTAAGATTACGTTTACATATGTATATAGATACATATATATACAGGTATGTGTGTGTGTGCGCGTGTGTTTGTGTGTTTACTTGGATGTCATAAAGACAAAGATGCACGAAGCACATGCGCATAATGCCGCAAAAGTATAGAAATTCTAAGGTTCAAGACAATCACCGGCAATCAGCATTGCACTGCACAGTGTTACAAAGTATGATCTGCTTCAAACGACGGAGATACCATGCATCTCACTTGCTTTGACTTGGTTGGCGCAGACAAACTCAAGCACAAAGAGGCAAACACAAAGAACACACAGTTCACAATGATCGTCCACAATGAATCTCAATCCGTACCTAACACTCTTGGAACCCACCAGTAAACACGTGTCGCATACACAAAGTCATTAGATAACGATATGAATATGTCCGTTCGCGAGCGTTATGATTGAATCTCATTCCCGAACACAGAACCAACCAAGAAGCAAGTATGACATGCCGAACTTTGACCAAGTGGCAAGCATGGAAATGTCTTCCGGTGCTTCAGCTCCGTCTGGCGGCGACGTCGGGCAAAGTTCTCGGTGCTGCCATCTGCCGTGAACCCGGCCGGGTCCCAGAATCCGACCGGCGCTTGCACACCGAGCTCATTCTCGAATGCTCGCAAAGGGGAAGCAGTGTAGTTGGCCCAGTCACCCCAGGCGCTGCCAGTCAAGCCGTCCTGCACAAGCACAAGTTTTCGCCCAGCACTAGATTACGTTTACATATGTATATAGATACATATATATATATAGGTATGTGTGTGTGCGTGTGTTTGTGTGTTTACTTGGATGTCATAAGACCAAGATGCACGAAGCACATGCGCATAACGCAGTAAAGGTTTAGAAATTCTAAGGATCCAGACAATCACCGGCAATCAGCATTGCACTGCACAGTGTTACAAAGTATGATCTGATTCAAACGACGGAGATACCATGCATCTCACTTGCTTTGACCGTAAGGTGGTTGGTGCAGACACACTCAAGCACAAAGAGGCAAACACAAAGAACACACAGTTCACAATGATCGTCCACAATGAGTCACACAATATGCAGTGCATCGGTAAAGGGGTTGGAAGCCTAACACTCTTGGAACCCACCAGTAAACACGTGTCGCACACACGAGGTCATTCGATAACGTTTCCTGGAAGAACATTCCGATGATCGCCATCATGGCCAGACGTCCGTTCGCCAACTCGGCCGCTAGCTTCGTCTTCTTGGCCTCCGGGTCGGACGCGGTGAGCACCTTGAATCCGAAGTCACCCGCCGCAGCAGGAGTTCCCGCCGACTGGTCCTGGGACACCTCGCAGAAGGCCATGTAAGCCAAGATTTGTCCCCACCCAGCAGCGGGAACTTTGGAAATCGCCGCCAATCCGTTGGGCACATCCGCGAACTTCAAGCCTGCGGAAGGGCTCAGATAGCCCGGGAATTTTCCGGTGATCTCGGGTGTAATATAGCCCATGGTCGCCTTGGTCGTTGTTCAAACTCAAACCTAGGATACAAAGTTATGATATGAATATGTTCCGACGTTATGTCTTTGAAACAAACCAACCAAAACAAGTATAATGCCAAACTTTGACCAAGTGGCAAGCATGGAAATTCTTCCGTGCTTCAGCTCCGTCTGGCGACGTCGGGCAAAGTTCTCGGTGCTGCCATCTGCCGTGAACCCGGCCGGGTCCCAGAATCCGACCGGCGCTTGCACACCGAGCTCATTCTCGAATGCTCGCAAAGGGGAAGCAGTGTAGTTGGCCCAGTCACCCCAGGCGCTGCCAGTCAAGCCGTCCTGCACAAGCACAAGTTTTCGCCCAGCACTAAGATTACGTTTACATATGTATATAGATACATATATATATATATACAGGTATGTGTGTGTGTGCGTGTGTTTGTGTGTTTACTTGGATGTCATAAAGACAAAGATGCACGAAGCACATGCGCATAATGCCGCAAAAGTATAGAAATTCTAAGGTTCAAGACAATCACCGGCAATCAGCATTGCACTGCACAGTGTTACAAAGTATGATCTACTTCAAACGATGGAGATACCATGCATCTCACTTGCTTTGACCGTAAGGTGGTTGGCGCAGACAAACTCAAGCACAAAGAGGCAAACACAAAGAACACACAGTTCACAATGATCGTCCACAATGAATCACACAATATGCAGTGCATCCGTAAATTGGTTAGAAGCCTAACACTCTTGGAACCCACCAGTAAACACGTGTCGCATACACAAAGTCATTCGATAACGTTTCCTGGAAGAACATTCCGATGATCGCCATCATGGCCAGACGTCCGTTCGCCAACTCGGCCGCTAGCTTCGTCTTCTTGGCCTCCGGGTCGGACGCGGTGAGTACCTTGAATCCGAAGTCACCCGCCGCAGCAGGAGTTCCCGCCGACTGGTCCTGGGACACCTCGCAGAAGGCCATGTAAGCCAAGATTTGTCCCCACCCAGCAGCGGGAACTTTGGAAATTGCCGCCAATCCGTTGGGCACATCCGCGAACTTCAAGCCTGCGGAAGGGCTCAGATAGCCCGGGAATTTTCCGGTGATCTCGGGTGTAATATAGCCCATGGTCGCCTTGGTCGTTGTTCAAACTCAAACCTAGGATACAAAGTTATGATATGAATATGTTCCGACGTTATGTCTTTGAAACAAACCAACCAAAAGAAGTATAATGCCGAACTTTGACCAAGTGGCAAGCATGGAAATTCTTCCGTGCTTCAGCTCCGTCTGGCGACGTCGGGCAAAGTTCTCGGTGCTGCCATCTGCCGTGAACCCGGCCGGGTCCCAGAATCCGACCGGCGCTTGCACACCGAGCTCATTCTCGAATGCTCGCAAAGGGGAAGCAGTGTAGTTGGCCCAGTCACCCCAGGCGCTGCCAGTCAAGCCGTCCTGCACAAGCGCAAGTTTTCGCCCAGCACTAAGATTACGTTTACATATGTATATAGATACATATATACAGGTATGTGTGTGTGTGCGTGTGTTTGTGTGTTTACTTGGATGTCATAAAGACCAAGATGCACGAAGCACATGCGCATAATGCCGCAAAAGTTTAGAAATTCTAAGGTTCAAGACAATCACCGGCAATCAGCATTGCACTGCACAGTATTACACAGTATGATCTGCTTCAAACGACGGAGATACCATGCATCTCACTTGCTTTGACCGTAAGGTGGTTGGCGCAAACAAACTCAAGCACAAAGAGGCAAACACAAAGAACACACAGTTCACAATGATCGTCCACAATGAATCACACAATATGCAGTGCATCCGTAAATTGGTTAGAAGCCTAACACTCTTGGAACCCACCAGTAAACACGTGTCGCATACACAAAGTCATTCGATAACGTTTCCTGGAAGAACATTCCGATGATCGCCATCATGGCCAGACGTCCGTTCGCCAACTCGGCCGCTAGCTTCGTCTTCTTGGCCTCCGGGTCGGACGCGGTGAGTACCTTGAATCCGAAGTCACCCGCCGCAGCAGGAGTTCCCGCCGACTGGTCCTGGGACACCTCGCAGAAGGCCATGTAAGCCAAGATTTGTCCCCACCCGGCAGCGGGAACTTTGGAAATCGCCGCCAATCCGTTGGGCACATCCGCGAACTTCAAGCCTGCGGAAGGGCTCAGATAGCCCGGGAATTTTCCGGTGATCTCGGGTGTAATATAGCCCATGGTCGCCTTGGTAGTTGTTCACACTCAAACCTAGGATACAAAGATATGATATGAATATGTTCCGACGTGATTTCTTTGAAACAAACCAACCAAAAGAAGTATAATGCCGAACTTTGACCAAGTGGCAAGCATGGAAATTCTTCCGTGCTTCAGCTCCGTCTGGCGACGTCGGGCAAAGTTCTCGGTGCTGCCATCTGCCGTGAACCCAGCCGGGTCCCAGAATCCGACCGGCGCTTGCACACCGAGCTCATTCTCGAATGCTCGCAAAGGGGAAGCAGTGTAGTTGGCCCAGTCACCCCAGGCGCTGCCAGTCAAGCCGTCCTGCACAGGTATGTGTGTGTGTGTGTGTGTGTGCGTGTGATAAAGACCAAGATGCACGCAGCACATGCGCATAATGCCGCAAAAGTTTAGAAATTCTAAGGTTCAAGACAATCACCGGCAATCAGCATTGCACTGCACAGTATTACAAAGTATGATCTGCTTCAAACGACGGAGATACCATGCATCTCACTTGCTTTGACCGTGAGGTGGTTGGCGCAAACAAACTCAAGCACAAAGAGGCAAACACAAAGAACACACAGTTCACAATGATCGTCCACAATGAATCACACAATATGCAGTGCATCCGTAAATTGGTTAGAAGCCCAACACTCTTGGAACCCACCAGTAAACACGTTTCGCATACACAAAGTCATTCGATAACGTTTCCTGGAAGAACATTCCGATGATCGCCATCATGGCCAGACGTCCGTTCGCCAACTCGGCCGCTAGCTTCGTCTTCTTGGCCTCCGGGTCGGACGCGGTGAGCACCTTGAATCCGAAGTCACCCGCCGCAGCAGGAGTTCCCGCCGACTGGTCCTGGGACACCTCGCAGAAGGCCATGTAAGCCAAGATTTGCCCCCACCCAGCAGCGGGAACTTTGGAAATCGCCGCCAATCCGTTGGGCACATCCGCGAACTTCAAGCCTGCGGAAGGGCTCAGATAGCCCGGGAATTTTCCGGTGATCTCGGGTGTGATATAGCCCATGGTCGCCTTGGTCGTTGTTCAAACTCAAACCTAGGATACAAAGATATGATATGAATATGTTCCGACGTTATGTCTTTGAAACAAACCAACCAAAAGAAGTATAATGCCGAACTTTGACCAAGTGGCAAGCATGGAAATTCTTCCGTGCTTCAGCTCCGTCTGGCGACGTCGGGCAAAGTTCTCGGTGCTGCCATCTGCCGTGAACCCGGCCGGGTCCCAGAATCCGACCGGCGCTTGCACACCAAGCTCGTTCTCGAATGCCGTCAAAGCCACCTGCATCTCAACTCGCATGTTTCTCAAAGCTGATCCCCCATTCTTCTTCCCCCTCGTTTGTTTAATTAACCACCACAATCTCGGCCAATGTCTGAAACATGGGAGGGGGAAGTGCTGCTAGAATGTTCAGGCTTGGCTTCTCTCAGGTTAAGGAGCACACCAGCTGATGCTTCGCATTGGCTGCACTGGCCTTGGACGCTTCACAGATGCAACCAGCAAGTCACCGTAACAATGCCAAAAAGGCCTTGGTGGCTTCCTCGCATTGTCCGCATAGAACGAATCTGTGCTTTGCACTGCATGCGACGATATTATGCCATGATTCATGCAAAAGCGCCTGTGTTTGGTGCGATGATGGCTGTGAGATACCAAGGGTCAGCATTTCACCCAAAACCGGGAAAAAAAAAGAAAACGAAAAAAATGCCGAAACCTGAGCCCCAGACCTTGCGGCTGGCAAAGGCCGCGATCGCCGTGCCCGCCACCGCCATGGCGGTGCTCGCCTGGCCGGCGGCCTTCTGCGTGGATTGGTGGACATCAATGTAACACAACTGGATGAATTTATGGATGACTTATGGATTTATGGACTACTTACTTGTGGATTACGCTCATTTACTTGGGTCTTTTTGTGGATTTGTGTCCACCTGCCCTATTTGAGAGTATTCCAACCATCGAAATTCGTAGCCACACTGGCTCCAAATCCGCAAACTGGCACCTCCAGTCCAGACACTGGAGCGGAGGTAGGAGTTGCTGCGGACACGGTTGCCTCAGAGTCGCATATCTCAATGCGGTTCTGGCCGATGTGCCACTGGCAACTCAAGGGGCTTCCCCCTTCTTTTCTGGGCTGTCCGTTTTGAGATCCCCCGCTGAAAGTTTGGAACTTGTAGTGGGTTGAATGGAAACTACCACCAAACCCTACAAGCCTGAAAAGCTAAGCGAACGGCTGGGAACCGCCAAGTTTTCAACCAATTGCATGAAAGGAACCAAGTCGCAACCATGAGTGAGTCAACCCCCCCCCTCACAGGAGCAATCCTGGGAACATGACTCGCAGGTTTCCGGTTCGTGTGGTAGGCGCAGACACGAAAGCTGCTCCACCGCAAATCGCGGCTCCTCTCAGGGGCAAGGGAGCACAAATCCCAGGTCATGTGCAAGATCCGGCCCAAATAGTTGCCAGCTTTAAGGCGAATCTCAAGTGGTGGGTTCAACGAGAAGTTGACCTTGCCCTTCGTACCTGAAAAATCGAGAAAGCATGGGCTTTTACTTTCTTCGAAAACCTGAACGCCTGCACTCACACTGGTGGCAAACTCATCCCCTCGTTCCTCCCTCCTATTTTGGGCGGGAACTATGACAACGCTTTGTTCTCAGTGGATAGTAACGCTGCCATCAGCCAAAGACTCCCAACCTTGACTCATATAACTATTCCTGTTCATAGAAAGAGAAGCCAGCGAGAACACAGCAGCCTAAAAGTGACGATTAGTCACTGTTGGTGACTATCAATGGTTCTTATGCATTGAGTCACTTTTGGTACTGACTCCAAGGGTGAAGGACTAACGAAAGACGATTCGGGGCTTGGCAAGGACCTTCCCACGTGACATTGCCGTGGCAATGCAGGCAAAAGCGTGCCTGCGACAGCGGCAACAGTGGCTCGGGATGCGGAGGCCATCCTTAGCATTCAGCACAAGCACACTGGCACTGACAGCGCCCACCAAAAAAAAAAACGTGCAAAGCTCTCCAAAATCTGGCTGAACACAAAGGCCAAGCATCTCTTACAAAAAGTTGGGAAATTAAAATCGAGGACAAGTGCTAGGGCCAGCAGATTTCTCTACAGGCTGTACAAAGCTGTACCCTACTTCCTTGAGCCGAGACAGGTGAATATCTGTGCTCTCAATGCTTGTGACGTCAAATGGCACTTCATAGTGAATGAGGGTTGCAAGCACCATGCCTGAGAAACTCCCTTTTGGCCACACTCTGGTGAGCTTGCCAAGCTCGGCAGCCTGCGGCCTGCACAGCAGCCCCCTGTCAATATCACAGCCCCCAACAACCGCCTCACAATGGCATGTTTGGGCTGGGAGTTGGAGAGGTCAAGTTCCTCCACCAGTCGGTTTGCATGCGTTAGGTATCAACCGGCCTCTCATTCCTCGCATCATCAAGTTCACTCCAGGGTTTGGGGAGCTTCGAAACCAATCCTTTGAAACAAGTCGTGCTGTACACCGCTCTTAAACGTCACCTCGAAAACGCCGGAGCTGCATCGCCATTCCCTTGCCTTCTCGTTGTCGCCCAACTGAAGCAGGGCAACCGTCGCTGCACATCGCTCGCCTGAAGTCAGGCTTTCATTCGTGTCTATCAACTTGGGGGGCAGAAGGGTTAAAGGGATAGAACTCCTTCAAAACGGCGAATGAACCTGCTTGTTGATGGAAAAAAATGAATTAACTCCCGTGATTGTTGCCCGATTTTCCGATTAGGTGCAGGTCAACAATGATGGAAAGCACTCAAACGGTGACTCCGAAATCCAAGCCCATACTCCAAGTAATTGAATCACAATCTAAGAACAAGTTGAGCCAATGGCTGCACCTGCGTAGACGACCCGCTGCAAGAGCAGCTGTGCCCGTCCTCCACTTGCATTGATCAAAGAAGCCCACCAGCCAAATCCGCTTTTGACTGGATGCCAAACTGAGTTCACCCAGGTTGTCGAACTCATGGTCTCAAGCTAGAATTCAACCCAGGTTGTCTCCAAAAGGGCAGCCCCTGGGTTCAAGTCTTTGGGGTGGAGTTAGACCCCTGCAAGAAGCCTGAACTGTTTGCTTGTTGCAAGAGTTGAACAGTACGCCATGGCAATGATAGAGTGGATCAGCTAAGCTAACATCAGCATCCCTAGAAACCTCAAAGGCAAAGGGGCGGTGCCTTTTGATAATACTGGCGAGAACAAGGGCCACTATATCATTGTCAAGGCTGGTCGCTAGTGGTCACAAGCGCTGCAAAAATGACGTTGATGCCAGTCAAACCAGAAAAACCTATGGAGCCCTGCAGACATGCTCCTTGGTAAGGCCTAAGTGTGAGTGTTTCCCAGTATCCGTTTGAAAATTTCACGCACCAATCAGGAATGGACGGCCAAAACCTTGGGTGAAACTGTTCGCAAGCCAAAACCTGGTGGGCCATATCCAAGCTGCTGTAAAGACAAGCTAATAGGGGCCTTGTTTTTCGAACCCGGTTTTTTTGACCTCCATTTTACCTTTTGGCTTATGGGCCCAAAAAGCAGGTTGGTGGTCGAAAAAGGCTGAACCTACAGTTCACAAGGATTCCAGCTTTACCCGCTTTCGGATGCTGCTACGCTCTTGTGATTTGCTGGCTGCAACCCATGTAGAAGAACCCGTTGGACAGGTCCAGGGAGTTGTATTACACTTCAAGAAAAATAATCTCGGGTGATATCCCCAACAGCACCAGGGCTCCCTTGCAAGCGCACGGAATGGATACAAAGTGTGCGATTCGCTTCATATTCATTGTGTTTTAATGCTATAACCCTCCTCGGAACCAACCCATGCATCACCGAACCCTCGCGGAACCCTCGCAGAACCTTCGCGGAACCCTCGCAGAACCCTCGCGGAACCCTCGCAGAACCCTCGCGGAACCTTCGCGGAACCCTGTGAAATTCAGAGCCGCCCCCAAAGCCGCCCCGCGCCACCTGGCTTCCTGGAACCTTCCGAAACTTGGACTTTGTGGACGGAATTGCCCCTCGCACCCAGCCAGTTGTCGCATGGCGGGGCCCTTCTCACGAGCGCCCCGGGCATGCTCACAGCATCCCACCTCTTGCGCCGAAGCCACAAAGGAAAAGAAGACAAAAAAACTAGTAGCCTACGTCCGCTCGACAGCTTCTTATCACCCCTGCCGCTGCTCTTGGCCTTGCTGGCGTGGCCCAACAACATGTTCCGCATGCCTCAAATCCTCCACGACGGTGTTGTCGTTTTGGACCTGACACGCGTTTCGCCTAGGCGAAATCACGTTTTTTTTTGAATCAAGCAGCAAAACGAAACTTCGCGTTCTCGCAACGCTTTTGTAGATCAGGCCACTAGGCGCAACGGTTCCAGCGAGCTGGCCAAAATGCGCTGTCGATGCTCCCAAGCGCAGTCAAGTGGGCGAACAGTAGATCCACACTGAGTTCGAATGCCATGATAGGTAGTAGAACGACTAAGATGGCCATGGGTGTGTTGGGCGCTCATGTGTATAACTGAGTCAAAATTGGGGGGAAGAGAGGAAATTGCTTGTGGGCAAGCACCGCCCAGAGAGCCAGAGAGGACCTGCAGGTTCACCTTGTGCAACATGTGGGAAATGACCCATGGACTATCAAAGTGGGCCATCCAAACGACGACTTTGCCGCTAAGCAATGCGACCGAGGGAAACCCGATCTGGGCAGGATTAAGAACAAGAAAGGTGCGCCCAGAACCTTTTTAGAAAACACGGCGTTTTTTCTTGGTGCAAATAGTTGCTAGAGGGACCCCCCCAAAAAAAAAACTGAAACAGGGGCACCAATGAAGCTCTGGATTCATCTTCTGTCTGGTGTCACTTGGTCAGTATCCTCCAGTTCCGAATGGTACGTTGGGGCTCGTGGTCTCGTATTGGTCTCCCTTTAAACCGCTCTAAACAAACTAGGCCAGCCGCCTCAACCACACAGACCCTTGCTCGGTTGCTTTCTGCTCCCCTGCTAAAAGTTTAGCTTTTAGGGATTTAGTGGAAAACCCGCTAGTTGGAAAAAAGGTTAAAGTCCTACCCTCCCTCCCACTAACATAGCAACCGTGGGAGGGTACCTGGAAGATGAATTTCCTCTTGTAGGGACTTTTTTGTCAGGTGCCATGTTAGCGGAAGGGAGGGTAACATCCCTTGGCAAAATGCACCAAAGCTTTGAACTCACTTCCAGCCTCTGGCTCCGTCTCTCCGCCTGGAGGCCTCCAGCTCTAGCTTCACGATCCTCGAAAACCGCACGGACGGCAAAGCGCCGGCAAACGTGGGTCGAA